GAATTCAGAATCAGCCTAAAATCAGCATTCAGAATCAGCTTAATATCAGTTCACAATCAGAAAAATTAGCATTTAAAATCTGCTTGAAATCATGTCAAATTAGCATTTAAAATCAGCTCTAAATCTGTCGAATCAATATCAGCTCAAAATCAGCATTTAGAATCAGCTTTAACATCAGTTAAAATCAGCTCGAGAGCTTTCTGATTAATGTAAAATCAGCTCAAAATCAGCATTTAGAATCAGCTTTAACATCATTTAAAATCATCTCTAAATCTGTCGAATCAAAATCAGCTTTAACATCAGTGAAAATCAGCTTGAAATCAGTCAAGTTAGTTTTTAGATTCAGCTTGAAATCAGCATTTAGTATAGGCTGTAGCATCGGTTAAAATCATCTTGAACTCTGTCAAATTAGTATTCAGATTCAGCTTGAAATCAGCATTTACAATCAGCTTAAAAGCAGCTTCATCAGCATTTAGTATCAGCCTCAGCATCAGTTAAAATCAGCAAAATCTGTCAAATCAGCATTTAAAGTGAGCTTTAACAAAAATCTGTCAAATCAGCATTCAGAAACGATTTTAACAGTCTGTTAAATCAGTTTAGCAATCAGTTGAAAAAAGGTAAAATCAACTTAAAATAGTTAAATCAGCATTCAGAATCAGCTCAAGAGTAAATAATAAAGAAACATTTAAATATATTGTATTATATTTTGTGTCAAATGTTTGTGTAAAACGAAAAAACTAACAAAAAAAATGAATTAAATAAGCCTCGCATATACAATGTTTAAGAACAATTTAAATGATTGTTTGCTTTTATTATTTTACATAATTAGTATTGGTACACTGTAATTAAGCATAAAAATTAAGTTTATTTTTTGTATTTTGCCAAGCTTTTAACAGGTATAAACAGCTTTTTATGAATAAAAATATATTTAGAAAATGATGTTAAATCATTATTAATAAATATATTATTATTATTATTATTTATTTATTTATTTGTTTTGTTTTTTACAAATTGGGAGGAACATTCAGTTATTAAAAACTTAAAAAAAAGGAAAAAAGACAACAACAATAGTGATAATAATGATACTTTTGCATATAATTGTGCACAATCCTAAGACTCTCCACATGTTGTTCTCCCACTCTGTGAATCAGGGAGCAGATCCTGCGAGTGAAAGCTGAAGAGGATAAGATCCCTCTGCTGGTGGTGGGCAATAAGTCAGATCTGGAGGAGCGACGGCAGGTTTCAGCAGACGAGGCCCGAAGCAAGGCAGACGAGTGGGGAGTTCAGTACGTGGAGACCTCAGCCAAAACCAGAGCCAACGTCGATAAGGTGAACTATTCAGTTGAGACAGTGTGTCTGAGCCTCTGACATTATCAGGAAGGCTATTTTAGAGTTTTGGAGCCATATATGAAAACGCTCAACCTCCTTTAGTGGACTTAGTTATTCTGGGTATTACCAGAAGCCCTGAGTTTTGAGATGTTAAAAAGCGGGTTGGGTTGTATCGACGCAGAAGGTTGGTTAGATAAACAGGAGCTAGACTGTTTAAAGCTTTATCGGTAATAATTAATATTTTATTATCAATACAGAATTTAACAGGCAGCCAGTGTAAGGAGGATAAAATCGGGAGGATATGGTTATATTTTCGAGACCTTGTAAAAACTCTGGCTGCTGCATTTTGCACTAACTGACTTCTTTTAATAGTGAATGCATTACAACCAGTGAACAGAGCATTGCAGTAACCCAATCTAGAGGTCATAAAAGCATGAACTAGCTCTTCTGCATCTGAGATGGATAGCATGCTTCTTAGCTTAGCGAACTCTCTGAGATATAAAGGCTGTTTAGGCAAGGCCAGGCAGGTTTATTTATACAGCACATTTCACACACAGTGGCAATTCAAAGTGCTTTACATAAACAAGAATAAAAAGACAAGTTTAGATGCAGTAAATAAATATAATGTCCTCATGCTGTCAACAGCTTACAGATTAACACAAGTGCACTTTAAAAATATTATAACTAGTGTTTAAAGGGAATCCTGGGTATCAGGACATGTATACCTTAATGCAATGTAAATAATGTGAAATATGTCAACAAACACCCACAGCACATTTACATTATTCAAAAACATTTTTCTTTTTCTTTCTTTCTTATGTCTACTACTGTACTTTCTTTTTTTCTTTCTAACTTTTTTCTTTCTTTCTTACATATTTTCTTTTTCTTTCTTTCTTTCTTTCTTTCTTTCTTTCTTTCTTTCTTTCTTTCTTTCCTTCTTTCCTTCTTTCTTTCTTTTTTCTTACCTAGTTATTTATTTTCTTTCTTTCATTTTGTTCTTTCTTGCATATTAACTTATTTATTTTTCTTTCTTTTTTTGTTTTCTTTCGTTCTTTCTTTCTTTCTTTCTTTCTTACCTAGTTATGTATTTTCTTTCTTTCATTTTTTTATTTCTTTCATATTTACGTATTTTCTTTCTTTCTTACTTACATACATACTTTCATATGTACTTTCTTTCTTGCATACTTTTTTTCTTTCTTACTTTCTTCCTTGTACTTTCTTTCTAACAAACTTTCTTTCTTCTTTATTTCTTTCTTTTAACTTAATTTCTTGCTTTTTTGCTTTTTTAATTTCTTTCTTTCTTACATTCGTACTTAATTTCTTGCATTCGTTCTTTCTCTCTTACATACTATTTTACTTTGTTGTCACACATACTTTCTTTCTTTCATTCATTCTTTTTTTCTTACATATTTACATTTTCTTACGTTCTTTCTTTCTCACTTGTATATTTGTTGATATTTTTTCTTTCTTACCTACTTGCATACTTTCTTTTGTACTTATTTGCTTTCTTTCTTACATACCTATTTAAATACTTTCTTTCTTGCATACTTTCTTTCTTCCTCGCATACTTGCGTACTTTCTTCCTCACGTACTTCCTTTCTTACTTTCTTACATACTTTCTTTCTTACACACTTGTGTACTTTCTTTCTTTTGTACTTATTTTCTTCCTTTCGTACATACTTTCTTTCTTTCTTTCTTACTTGCGTACTTTTCTTTTTTTGCTTTTTTCTTACGTACTTTCTTAAGTTTGTTCTTTCTTTTTTCTTACATACATATTTACATACTTTCTAACATAGGCTTGTTGTTTTCTTTCTTAGGTACTTATTTAAATTTTTTTTCTCTTATGTACTTTATTTTTTTACATTTGTACTTTCTTTCTTACTTGCTTTTTTATGTGCTTTGTTTCTTTCTTTCTTTCTTTCTTTCTTTCTTTCTTTCTTTCTTTCTTTCTTTCTAAATGTACATTTTCTCAGGTATATTCAGTTATAAAAGCACATTGGCTGTACTGTCAGTGAAGTGTTTGCTTGTTGTTGTTTTCTGCAGGTCTTCTTTGACCTAATGAGGGAAGTCCGAACAAAGAAAATGTCTGAAAACAAGGAGAAGAATTTAAAGAAGGGCGGCAAGAAGAAGAAGAGTCTGAAAGAGAGATGCACACTGCTGTGATTGACCCGTCCAGCTCTCCTGTCCTGAACTGAGCCGCTCGGAGGAAAATAATGATGATGATGATGATGAGCAGATCTTCTTCATCCAGCTTTTCTGATGCCAAACACAATCATAAGTCGAACTCCAGCTCTCCAGCAAAGGGCTTTTGCACATTTCTGCAGACCAGCGTGTTATTAAAATCAGTAGCGTAACTCTAATCTGTGGGACTTTCACAATCTCATTATTCTAATGCAAACTCCAAAAACACACAATATTAATGATGCTGCATTATTGGGCCTCACGAAACAAGAACTGAGTCAGTTGTTGCGTTCAATTAAAGGGACAGTTCACCCAAAAATGAACACGTATTAGTGGTTTCAACATTTTTAGGAGTTTTTTTTTCTGCTAAAGAATAAAGAAGATATTTTGAAGAATGCTGAAAAAAATAGCCATTGATTTCAATAATAGGAAATGGAAAATGTAATGGCAATTATTTTACATCATTCTTCAAAATATCTTATTTTGGGTTCAACAGAAGAAAGTCAAACAGGTTTAAATGGTCATTTTAGGGTGTACTGTCCCTTTAAGTGACTATTTGCAACAATATACTTAGGATTTAAAGGGACAGTACACGCAAAGATGAAAATGTACCCACTCTAAAGTTATTCTAATCTTTCATGAGTTTTTTTCTGATTCTGTTGAACACAAAAGAAGATATTTTGAAGAATGCTGATAAAATGTAGCCATTGACTTCAATAATAGGAAACTGAAAACACATTGTAGTCTATGGCAATAAGTATTATTTTGTGTTCAACAGACAAACAAGTTTGAAATGGGTGTAGGATGAGTAAAGGATTATCTTGTGTGTACTGTCTCTTTAAGTGACAATTTGCAACAATTTATTAAGAATTTAAAGAGACAGTACACCCAAAAAATGAAAAATTACTCACTTTAAAGGGATTCTAACTTTTCATTAGTTTTTTTTTTAACCTAAAAGAAGATATTTTGAAGAATGTTGAAAAACCATTGTCTTTCATAATAGGAAGCGGAAAATACAATGGTCGTCAATGGGAATCAGTTCCCAACATTTTTCTAAGTATCCTCTTTTGTGTCCAACAGAAGAAAGTAAGTCAGACAGGTTTGAACTAAGTGAAGAGAGAGTAAAAGTTCATTTTGGGGTGTACTGTCTCTTTAAGTGACCATTTATACTTACAATATACTTAGCAACAATATACTTAGAATTTAAAGAGACGGTATACCCGAAAATGAAAATGTGCTCACTCTAAAGCGCTTTTAACTTTTAACGAGTTTCTTTATTTTGTTGTTGAACACAAGAAGATAAAGACATTGGCTTCCGTAATAGGAACCTGAGAATTCAATGGGAATCAGTTTCCAACATTTTACAAAATATCTTCTTTTATGTTCAACAGAAGAAAGAAAGACCGGTTTGAAACAAGTGAAGAGAGAGTAACAGAGGATTTTTGGGTGTACAGTCCCTTAAAGTGACTATTCACAACAAGATGCTTAGAATTTAAAGGGACAGTGCACCCAAAGTGATTCTAACCTTTCATGAGTTTTTTCTTATTCTGTTGAACACAAAAGAAGATATTTTGAAGAATGCTGATAAAATATAGCCATTGATTTACTAGGAAACCGAAAATACATTGAAGTCGATGGCAATGAGTTTCCAACATTTTCCAAAATATCTTCTGTTTTCAACTGACAAACAAGTTTGAAACGGGTGTAGGATGAGGAAAGGACTTTCTTATGTGTACTGTCTCTTTAAGTGATCATTTGCAACAATATATTTAGGATTTAAAGAGACAGTACACCCAAAAATAAAAATGCACTGACTTTAAAGTCAAACCTTTTACACGTTTTGTTGTTGTTGTTATTGATGATGAACACAAAGGAAGATATTTTGAAGAATGCTGGAAACTACTACAGTATTTCGTTTCATACAAGGATAATTAAATGCTATAGTAATCAATGGCTACCAGTTTTAAATCCTTTTCTTTAAGTATTACATTTGTGTTCAGAAGAAGAAACAAGTGTTGAGAGAGTAAATATTGAGTGCATTTACATTTTTAGGTGAACTGACCATGTGCAACACAATAGTAAGACTTACTCTGTCTACACTTATTTTTAAAACCCGATTTCTGTCTCTCTCTCTCTCTCTCTCTCTCTCTCTCTCTCTCTCTCTTAGTTTTGCAGTTTCGCTCTTTCTTTCTTCCTTCTTTAAATGTTTTAAACGGGTATGAATGGACTTCCATAGTATTTTTTTCCTACAATGGAAGTCAATGGTTACCGGTTTCCAACATTTTTCTAAGTATCTTCTTTTGTGTTTAACAGAAGAAAGAAAGCCAGTTAGGTTCAAAACGAGTGAAGGAAGAGTAAATGATTGCTTTTTGGGTGTACTGTCTCTCTTTAGTGAGCAATTTGCAATGAAATATTAAGAAATTAAAGAGACAGTACACCCAAAAATGAAAATGTACTCATCATTTACTCACTCTCTCTTTCTCAGCTTATTTCAAATCAATTTAAATTTCTTTTTTGTTGTTCTTTTTATGTTATCAACTATTGACTTAGTATTTTTTGTCTCTATGTAAGTCAATGGCTACCATCTTCGAACATTCTTTAAACTATCTTATTTTTAGTTCAACCAAAAAATCACCCGTTTGAGGATGAACACGTGAGTAAATGTAAATATTTAGGTGAACTATCCCTTTAATTCCTCCTTTCTATTTCCATTTTCATCACGTTATTTTTCATTTTTGTGCTAAATACTCTATTTCAAGTTATCAGACGTTATATGCAATCTTTATTTTGTGTATTTGTTAATGTTCTAAGCATTATTTTGTAGCTAAACGTGTGGTGAAATGATGAAATTCACTGCAAACTCGTCTCTTTGTTTTCATCACAAATGCATATTTTTGTAATCAGCCCACTGTGATTTCTCTGGTGATTAAAGAGCAAATAAAGCTTCGGTGTATTTGTTCTGGATCTCCAGCGTGTGTTTGTGTGTGTGAAAGAGTGTGTTTGATGGCGTCCGGGCTGTAAGAGTTTTACGAGAGCTGTAAAGTGCGTCCGGAAGCAGTCGCTCACCTTGACTTTGAATGTGAAAAGCGACTAGCGTTTAACATCCTCCGTAAAGACGCCGTACACACTGATCTGAGAACAGACATGCACAAAACAATCGGATAAACAAATGTCTGGATTACCGGGTTCAACATTTTTATAACTATCTTTTTTGTTTCATTTCAAACCTGATTACATTTTGTTTTTAAATGTTGTTAACTATTGACTTAGTGGTTTTTCTTCTTATTATGGAAGTCAATGGTTACTTGTTTTCAGCATGTTTCAACTATCTTTTTTGTGTTTAAAAGAAGAAAGTCAAATCTCTCACCTTTTTTCAAACCTGTTTAAATGTGTTATTTTTTATGTTGTTTGCACTGACTGTTTTTTTGTCTTGCTATGGAAGCCAGTGGTGACCGGTTTTCACCATTTTTCCGTCTTTGTGTTTTATTTCGAACCCATTTACATATTTTTTAAACATTGTTAACTATTGGCGTACTGTTTTTTTCTTACTATGAAAGGCAATGGTTTTCAAAAAATTTTAAATATATTTTTGCGTTTAACAAAAGAAAAGAAAATCTCTTTTTCTTAACTTTTTTCAAACCTGTTTACATTTATTTTATGATTATTTTTTATGTTGTAAACCCTTGACTTAGTGTTTTTTCTTTCTCACTATTGAAGTCAATAGTTACCAGTTTTTAATTTTTTTAATTTTTTTATTTTAAACCATTTAAATTATATTTTTTATTATATTTTTCATGTTGTAAACCATTGACTGTTTTTTTCTTGCTATGAAAGTCAATGGTTACCGGTTTTCAACATTTTTCTAACTATCTTTTTGTGTTTTACAGAAATTTTTTTTTTTCTCAACTTTTCAAACCTGTTTACATATCTTTTCTTGTTGTAACCCATTAACTTAGTGTTTTTTTTTCTTACTATTGAAGTCAATAGTTACCGGTTTTCAACATTTCTCTGTCTTTTTTTATTTCAAACCAGTTAAATTGAGCCCGTTTAAATTTTTTTAATGTTGTAAACCTTTAACTTAGTGTTTTTTTTATTTTGTTTTTTTTTTTTTTACTATGGAAGTCAATGGTTACCGGTTTTCAACATTTTTCTAACTATCTGTTTTGTGTTTAACAAAAAAATCAAGTCTCTCTCTTTTTTCTCAGCTTTTTTCAAACCTGTTTACATTTATTTTATGATTATTTTTTATGTTGTAAACCATTGACTTAGTGTTTTTTTTTTCTCACTATTGAAGTCAATAGTTACCGGTTTTGACATTTCTCTAACTATCTTTTTTTATTTCAAACCATTTAAATTATATTTTTTTATTATATTTTTCATGTTGTAAACCATCGACTGTTTTTTTCTTACTATGAAAGTCAATGGTTACCGGTTTTCAACATTTTTCTAACTATCTTTTTGTGTTTTACAGAAGAAAATAAAACATTTTTCTTAACTTTTTCCAAACCTGTTTACATTTATTTTATTGTTGTAACCCATTAACTTAGTGTTTTTTTTTTGTTTGTTTTTTTTACTATGGAAGTCAATGTTTACCGGTTTTCAACATTTGTCTCTTTTTTGTTTAACAGAAGAAAGTCAAATTTCTCTTTTTCTCAGATTTTTTCAAACCTGTTTATATTTATTTATTATTTTTTTTTATGTTGTAAACCATTCACTTAGTGTTTTTTTCCTTACTATGGAAGTCAATGGTTACCGGTTTTCAACATTTTTCTAACTCTGTTTTTTTGTGTTTCTATAATCATTCCATAATTCTTCTTCTTCTATAATTACTGAATATGTACATAAAGACATGAGTACAGGTATTCTTGGTCTGTATACACAACACTAAATATGTAAACCAATGTCTGTCTGTCTGTCCATCCATCTATTTCTCTGTCTGTCTGCCTGTATGTCTGTCTGTAAATCTATCCATCCATGTATTTCTGTCTGTCTCTGTCTGTCTGTCCATCAATCTATTTCTCTGTCTGTCTGTATGTCTTTCCATCTATTCATCCATGTATTTCTCTCTGTCTGTATGTCCGTCGGTCTGTATGTATATATGTATATATGTATGTATATATATATATATATATTTATTTATTTATTTTTTTTTTATTTATTTTTTTTTTGCTGGTTTCACTGCATTTATCTCTTATTAAAAATTAAGAAGTTGAGATATTCTTATTTAATTATGCATTAAAATGGGGGGATTCACATGTAAATTTTACTGTATAATTTTATTTGAATATATTGCAAACGATTTGCATAATGTGATTAAATTGATAAAGAACACATTATTTGTGAATTACAAGTATTAATAATATTGGAATTAATTAAACTTTTTTGACATTTTAATTTGTGATTGTTGAAAGTGTATGACAGAAATCAGACAGAGATGTTGAGCGCATCAGTGTGCAGCTTTCAGATGTAAAAAGTGATCAGTGTTTGATGCAGCAATGAATATTTGACTAAATATATTTATAGTTTGATGACACTGATTTAAATAAATGCATTTTGAGCATTTGCAAAGTTTTATTATTATATACATTTCAATATAAAAATTTATATATATTTTATTTGATATTTTTAATGCTTTTTATAGCATTGTTTGTTTTGTGTATATGTTGGACTCAAATGTATTATAAAATCTAAATAACTCTTTATTGCATATATAAAAAAAACACATTTATTTTGTCCAGCTAAACTTTTTTTGCGTCAAGAGAAAATAAAATGTAGAAGGTGAATTTATTTTTATTTATAATAAATCTGACTTTATTTAGTAAACTAATAAATCATATATAACTCATTATCACACATCTTTTGTGCCTAAAAGTTTGCCCTGCGTATGATGAACCTGCAGTTTCACTGTCGGCCAGCAGAGGTCAGACAGTACTTGCAGTAATTGTACCGAATATTATTAATATTATTTATTAAATTACCTATTATATTGTACATTATTAACGTCTACCCTTATTCCAACCCTAAACCAAACATTTACAGTAATGTAAAAATATTAATTATTTTTGTACAGTGTATTTAAGTAGTAGGGGACATATTAAATTATTCATTAGGTCTAACTAATTACTCGCTTGTGTGTGTGATATACGCTATAGGCTAAAATATATACATAATAAATTCACACAAAATGTATATATTATATACATAAAGATTTAATTCGAATCCTGTTGTCCAGTTAAATTCACTGTGGAGTGTTTAATACGAATAATATTTATGGAGTTATACAATATATAACAATATATTAAACATGAGGCGTTTCACTTGACCAATCAAATGAAGAGACTGCGATTCCTCTGTTTACCGGCAGATATCAGTGTGAGATCACATTTCTCAGGTTTTACTCTCACTTAAAGACACATTTCCTTTTATTATTAGATCCTATACAATATTTGTCAGACTCGTTTATTTTGTGCATTTTAGCTCCTGCGTGTGTTAAAGAAATTCAATTTGATGGCCTTCCAGTTTTTGCGGTGCAGATTAAATCAAATATTGTAATTAGTTTTAAGAGACATTGCTTAAATGTTAATGATATTAATTATTATTATGTTTTTGATGCAGAAATTTGTGGATTTTCATGTATTTATTTATTTTAATATTTATTTATTGTTTTATTTATAGATTTATTTTCTCGTTTATTTGTTCATTTGCATATTTATTTTTTATGCATTGTTTTATTTATGCAGAAATTTATGGATTTATTTATTTATTTGTTTATTTATTTGCATATTAATTTAACTGTTGTTTTATTTATGGATTTTTTACTCGTTCATTTGTTTATTTGCATATTTCTTTAGTGTTTTATTTATGCAGGAATTTGTGGATTTATTTACTCATTCATCTATTTACTTGCATGTTTATTTATTTATTGTTTTATTTATGTATGAATTTATGGATTTATTCAATTATTAATTAATTTATTTGCGTATTTATTTATTTATTGTTTTATTTATGCAGGAATTTGTGGATTTATTTACTTAATTAATTTATTTATTTGCATATTTATTGATTTGTTGTTTTATTTATGTATGAATTTATGGATTTATTTACTTATTAATTAATTTACTTGCATATTTATTTATTTATTTATTTATTGTTTTATTTATGCAGGAATTTGTGGATTTATTTACTTATTGATTTATTTATTTGTATATTTATTTATTTATTTATTGTTTTGTTTATGCCGGATTTTATGGATTTTTTAGTGTTTTATTTATACAGGAATTTGTGGATTTATTTACTTATTGATTTATTTATTTGCATTTTATTTATTTTTTATTGTTTTATTTATGCAGGATTTTATGGATTTTTTAGTGTTTTATTTATACAGGATTTTATGGATTTATTTACTTATTTATTTATTTCCATATTTATTTAGATATTTATTTATTGTTTTATTTATGTAGGAATTTGTGGATTTACCCATTTATTTATTTATTTGCACATTTTTAATTATTGTTTTATTTATGTAGGAATTTGTGGATTTACCCATTTATTTATTTAATTGCACATTTTTAATTATTGTTTTATTTATTCAGGAATTTGTGGATTTACTCATTTATTTATTTATTTGCACATTTATTTATTTATTGCATTATTTATACAGGAATATGTTTCGTCCTCCATATATGATTTTATATGAATAAAGCAAAAACAATCAACCATAATTAAATACTATTATCATTTTTTAAATGTATCTAATTTTTTATTCTCATAATCAGTACAAGAAAAAAAAAACGTAATGAGAAGTATCGAGTCTTTTATTTTGTATAACTCAACCACCTGCCAGACTTTTGCTCTGAAAAGTAGCCAAGGGGGCAGCCATTTTGGCAGCGCTCCCTCACACTCCTCCGCTTCACACAGCTGAATATATTAAGCCTCCAATAAGCGGTATTTATATTCGTGCGGCGTTCCGTCCTCGTCCTTCTCCGTCCGCGATTTTTCCACCAAAAAAAAACAACCAACACAACCCGCACCCGTGTCAAAAAATAAACAAATAACTAACAAACCTGAAGAGAAGTGCAGCCTCAGACGAGACGCGCGCGTTTTTATTCTGATGAGGATATTATTGAGCTCGCTTGTGTCGCGGTGGATTTGGAAACGGATTTATCCTATTTAGGATCGTGTCACTGGAGCAAAGGAATACAACAGAGACAGCAAATCCCTTCGGATTGACAGGTAAAACCGCACATTATTTCCATTGCGTTCATTTTGGGAACATTTCTATGTGGCGCAGTGATTCTGCCATTCGCCATTCATTCGCGTTCGTCCCCACGACGCCTGTTTTACAGTCTGTTTTTGATTTTTTTACGACTTTAATTAATAAGTGCGACTGTATTGTGTAATTCACAATCCCCAGCAGCCGAAAAACAACTTCTCTATTGTGTTTACATCGCATTTTAATATCTTTGTCAGTGGAAATGTACAGTAGAGGGTTCACAATATTGTTATCGTGTAATCATTAATTACAAATTATTTTATTATGAATGATAAATTATAATTAAGCCTATTATAAACGTAATATTAGCATTGTTGTATTAAACAGTTTAGATTTAGGACAGTTTTGATGAATGGTTTTGATCTATAAATATTGACTAGTATTTTGTGTTGGCTTCAGTGAATCTGCCAATATGATTTGGTCAGGAACGCCCAGTTAACTTATGATTGATTAAATATTTAATTATGTGTCCTCTATATTCATGTGTTTCCTATTTTTTATCACTTACTATTTTAGCATTTATTATTTAACGTTGTTTCAAAGCGAGTCGTAATTATTTGGGGATTATTTTGCATACAGCATCAATAACGCCAGAGCAGTGACCGCAATCCTGCTTATGGAAAGTCAATTATAGGACATATTCAGCAAAACCTCGATGAACTTCATGATGAGAGCAGTGGATGCTTTATGAAGATGAACTCGAGTCTGGCTGCAACAGATGCTTTAGTTTCTGAACACCTGCTTGTGTAACACTTCTGGAGTTTTGTATTTAATTATTTACATTTGTAGTTAGGCTACTGTAATCGCGTATCCTCATGCATACACGATATCATGTTCTGTGTGTTTTTATGTAATATTTATTTGTATATTTATTTATTTATTGGGCAGCTTTCTAATAATTAATAAGTTTAAGCTTTTCAACTTATTTTTTCTCCTCATTATATCAACATTTTAAAAAAAAAGATCATTTTAAATTGTATTAAATCTAAAAGCCCAGTATAGTATTTTGTTATAAGCAAAGTGCATTGCATTTTATTTATTTATTTATTCACTTATTTATTTATAGGGCAGTTTTCTAATAATAAGTTCAAGCTTTTCAACTTAATTTTCTCATTATTTCAACATTTAAATAAATTATTATTTTAAATTGTATTAAATGTAAAAGACAAAAATAATATTTTGTTTTAAGCTAAGTGCATTAAATTTTATATTTATTTGTTTGTTAATTTATATTTAAGGCAGTTTTCTCATAATTAATTATTTAAAGATTTTCAGCTTAATTTTTTTCTCCTAATTATTTAAACATTTAAATAAATCATCATTTTAAATTGTATTAAATGTAAAAGCCAAGGATTGTATTTTTTAAGCTGTATTAAATTTTAACTATTTATTTATTTATAGAACAGTTTTCTAATAAACAATACATTTAAGCTATTCAAATGATTTTTTCCTCAATATTTCAACATTTAAATTATCATTTAAAATTTATTAAATCTAAAAGCCAAGTATATCATTTTATATTTTTATTTATTTATTTATTGGTCAGATGCTTATAAGTTTAAGCTTTTCAACTTAATTTTGTCCTCATTATTTCAACATTTAAATAAATTATCATTTTAAATTCTATTAAATGTAAAAGGCAAATATAAAGTTTTGTTATAAGCTAAGTGCATTTTATTTTTTATTTATTTATTTGTTTGTTTATTTTTTTATTTATTGGGCAGTTTTGTAATAATTAATCAATTTAAGATTGTCAGCTTAATTTTTACTCCTAATTATTTAAACGTTTAAATAAATTATCATTTTAAATTGTATTAAATGTAAAAGCCAAGTATAGTATTTTGTGCATAAATTTGTAACTATTATTTATTTATTTTTTATATGACAGTTTTCTACTAAACAATAAAATGTTTATGCTTTTCAAAAAAAAATCTCAATATTTTAACATTTAAATAAATTATAATTTTAAATTTTATTAAATCTAAATAAAAGCCAAGTATAGTATTCTCCTATAAACTAAGTGCATTAAATTTAATTTATTTATTTATTTATAGGGTAGTTTTTTTTTAAATTTATAAGTTTAAGCTGTTCAACTTATTTTTTTCCTCATTATTTCAACATTTAAATAAATTATATTTTTCAATTGTATTAAATGTAAAAGCAAAATATAGTATTTTGTTAGGTGCATTAAATTTTATTTATTTGTTTATTTGTTTGTTTATTTATTGGGCAGCTTTCTGATAATTAATAAGTTTAAGCTGTTCAACTTAAGTTATTCTTCTCATTGTTAATCATTTAAATAAATTACAATTTTAAATTGCATTAAAGCTAAATGTAGTATTTTGCTATAAGCTAAGTGCATTACATTATATATACACACCAAATTAAAAATTGTAAAGTCTATTTTTATTGACATTTTTTAAATGCTATTTGAATTGGAGTGTTGATTTGTTTTTGTGTGTGTTATGATTTTGAGGTTTAATAATTTTTCATATCATGGATCTCCCACAGTGACAGATTCTTATTATTGTAGATTCTTACGGTTGTAAGTTTTATTTTGTAGTATTAATGTATACTATTGTCAAATTAACTCATGTTTACTTCTGTTTTGTATTTGTGAATAAGACACTTGTACATAGAGGTAAAGGTTTTATATTCGCACATTCATTTGGTGACAACTTCTGATACAGTCCAAATATTGTTTACCATGCGACTTTGAATATTCCGTCTGAAATCACATGTTAATCTGACATCATTGGCACTATTTATTTGATTATGAACAATGTTGTACTTTGCTAGTCGTTAACTGCTAACATGATTTTACCATTTAGAATTTGCAAATAATACTTTTCTGAAATTATATTATTAAGGAGAACGTCCGAATGCGGGAACATTAAACCAACTTTTCCTCAATCACATGTTCCACCTTAACTGGAAATGATTTGATGTACTTGCATCAAAACCTGGACTTAAAAGTTAGAAGTTGTGGGTTGAAAACCCCATTTGGACAATTGAAGACCTTCACTCATTACAGGTTCTGCTAATGGTGGGTTTATTTAAATGATTGTTGCTCTTTAGTGCAATTTTATCTCCAACTTTTCTTGAAATGCACATTTGATTCAGTTTGTCGCTTTGCAAACAAATGCTGGATCTTTATAATTGGCTGTAAATTGAGCAAAATAAGCATGCCAGTTTCTACAGTCAGGCGTTGTAGCACATGCTGGTTTTCTATCTCAGGTGTTCATTTAGACACAGGTTATGAAGGTGTCATGTTCAATCAGCTTCAGCGGTTGTTCAACACAGACTGTAAACAAGGCCTTGTGACCTGACTAGTGCAAACCCAGTTTTTAATAAGTCTACGCAGAAGCACAGTGGATTTGCGGTCTGTTTGTTTGATGGATGCTGCTGGGCGTGACAGGCCAACACTGACACAACCAATGGCCTTTTTTAGTATTAATTTAGCCATTTTTGTGACGCAACTTGGCCTCGGTTTAAATGTCAGACCTTTAAACCAAGTCTTTTTCATTTAAATTTTTTTATTTTTGTACTTATGTAAAATGCATAGTATGTTGTGTACGTGTGTGTGTGTGTGTGTGTGTGTGTGTGTGTGTGTGTGTGTGTGTGTGTGTGTGTGTGTGTGTGTGTTTTAAATAAATCTTTTACCATAATTTATTGGTGTAATAATTTTAAAATAAATACAGTACTGAGCAGAACTCTTATAGGCCTCTTGTTTCATCAACCAATACAAAAATGGATTCAAATCAGTTTTTTTATCATTTGGTTTGTGTCTGTCAGTTAATTTGCTAGTGTCTTGGAAACGCTAAAGTGTATTGTTAAAATGTCTTGGAAATGCTAGTGTCTTGTTAAAGTGTCTTGGAAACACCAAAGTGTCTTGTTGAACTGTCTTGAAAATTTTAGAATGCCTTGTTGAACTGACTTGAAGACACTGGAGTGTCTTGGAGATGCTGAAGTGTCATGGAGATGCTAAAGTGTCTTGTTGAAGAGTCTTGGAAATGCTAAAGTCTCTTGTTGAAGAGTCTTGGAAATGCTAAAGTGTCTTGTTGAAGAGTCTTGGAAATGCTAAAGTGTCTTGTTGAAGAGTCTTGGAAATGCTAAAGTGTCTTGTTGAAGAGTCTTGGAAATGCTAAAGTGTCTTGTTGAAGAGTCTTGGAAATGCTAAAGTGTCTTGTTGAAGTGTCTTGGAAATGCTAGTGTCTTGTTGAAGAGTCTTGGAAATGCTAAAGTGTCTTGTTGAAGAGTCTTGGAAATGCTAGTGTCTTGTTGAAGTGTCTTGGAGACACTGAAGTGTGTTGAAGTGTCTTTGAGATGCTGAAGTGTCTCAGAGATGCTGAAATATCTTGGAGATGCTGAATTATCTTTGATACACTGAAGTGTCTTGGAGATGCTGAAGTGTCTTGTTAAAGTGTCTTGGAAACGCTAAAGTGTCTTGTTAAAATGTCTTGGAAATGCTAAGGTGTCTTGGAAACACTAAAGTGTCTTATTAAAGTGTCTTGAAGACTCTAGAATGTCTCATTGAAGTGACTTGAAGACACTGTAGTGTCTTGGAGATGCTAAAGTGTCTTGTTGAAGTGTCTTAGAAATGCTAAAGTGTCTTATTGAAGTGTCTTGGAGATGCTGAAGTGTGTTGAAATGTCTCTGAGATGCTGAAGCGTCTCAGAGATACTGAAATGTCTTGAAGACACTGAATTATCTTTGATACACTGAAGTGTCCTCGAGATGCTGAAGTGCCTTGAAGATATTGAACTGTCTTTGAGGTGTCTTGAAAATGCTGAAGTATCTTGGAGATTCTGAAGTGTCTTGTCTTGAAGCCTTTTAGAGATGCTTTATTTTCATGAAGTGTCTTGAAGATGCTGAAGTGTCTTAAAGTGTCTTGTCTTGGAGATGTTGAATTTTCTGTTTGAACTGACTTGAGATGCTAAAGAGTCTTGGAGACACTGAA